TATATATATAGAGAGAGAGAGAGAGAGAGAGAGAGAGAGAGAGAGAGAAAGTTCATTTGAGAAGTTGTAAGTATTTGAAAAGTAAAGAACTGATCATAGCCCTTTCGTCTGATCAACATTTATGGCTTTGACTGTGAAGTACCAGATAGTTTCTAGAACCGGTATTTTGAAGACAAAGGGATAGTTCGTAACTTTTACAAATATGCAGACCACCCCTCTATTTTTCGCATAGCCGCAAACTTTGACTAGTCAAAACCGTAATTATTGACCAGTAAAATCTGATCTTGACCGTATGAAGGACTAAGATCACTTCTTTACTTCTCAAATATTTACCACTTCTCAAGATCAGATTTGACTTGTCAATAATTGCTTATTTGGATGGTAAAAGATTGCGGCTATGTGAAAAATGGAGATGGTAGTTTCGTAACTTTTACAAATAGGCGACAAAAGATTCGTATATGAACCTCTGTGATTCACATTGGTCGTTGAATGAGAGAGAGGCATGGGCAAGGATAGGAAGGTTGGTTCTACCGTGCAGGCATATATATGAACTATACGTTCATATATGAACTCGTGTAATTTACATATGAACTATTTTAACTGATTCACATATAAACTAAATTAACTGATTCATATATGAACCTTTGTGATTTACATATGAACTAGTTAATGGGTTCACACGTGAACCCGTTTGCCGTCTATATGTAAAAGTTACGAAACTATCCCTCTATCATCTGTATAACACACAAGGAATTATCTGGTGCTTCATGGTCAAAGTCGCATATGTTGACAAGATGAATGGTTAGAATCATTTCTTTACTTCTCAAATATTTACCACTTGTCAAATGAACATTTCCCTACACACACACACACACACACACACACACACATATATATATATATATATATATATATATATATATAGGTGGAGGTTCAAACAATAACATCTTCATTTTACGAGAACGCGATAACACTTTTATCACATGTGATAATACGCGTGAAAGGACCTGGTGATATGCGAAAGACGTGTTCTACGACTTAGGTTGCGCCAAAGGTTGTCTGCATCTATGACTTAGCATCACATGTGATGGTCTTGATGAATTATAGTATCATATCAATAACACACTTATCACATGTGCTAACATGTGAGGGGGCTTAGTGGTTTAAGGGAGACTTGGCCCGCAACCAAGATCGCGCCGAAAATATCACGCATATCTGATTTAGTATCACATGTGATGGAATAATAGTATCACATGTGATTGTCTATTGTAAAAAGGTATTCCTAAGTTCTCGTAAAATGAAGGTGTTCTCGTTTGATATATATATATATATATATATATATATATAGGGGCTGGTTCAAATGCTAACCAAGATTATCGTGTTAACTTTGTTAACCGATCTTGGTCGTTAACTTGAATAATAAACGGTTGTGATTTAATGATATTTAAAAATTAATTATTAAATTAATATTTTCAATTAACATATGTGAACAAAATATCAAAGGGTATTTAGGTAAAAAGTAATCTATCTTTGATACACGAGTTGTCAGACATATAAACAACTTGTGTATGTCCTCAAAACACATCAAACAAAAAAGATTAGACATATGAACAACATGTGAACCATATGAACATCTTCTGTATATTCAGAAGCCAACTCTGTTGTATGTACATGAACACCTACGAAGCTTGTGTTCACATGAATCACAAATATTGTTCATATTCATGTGATGTCATTGTGCATATGTATCGATATGAACATCTATTGCCTTTGATATGTGTTCATTAAAACGAATTCAAATGCCATACTAATCACTTACCAATAGGAACACTTTGATCATTTTCTTCATTATCGGAATTCGAATTGCGAATGTAATCGTAGACGATTTTAACTTTTCTCATTTCCATTGTTGTCGATCTGTTTTACAATAKGTTTATCCATATTACTCGGACGATATCGAAATCTTTTACACTTACGAAATCAATATCATTATAGGTAGAACATCATTTGTAAATTAGAAACATGAACACGTATGAAAACCAATTTCAATATTACATCCTGATCAATTAGTGAGATTTTTCATATTTGTAACTCCCAATTAATTATTTGGGAGTTACATAAATGGAAAATTACTTAATTATCCTTGTAGTTAATATATGAGTACATTTGAACTTAAAGAAAAGATGGAATATGATTGGTTGAGCTTGGTTAACAAAGTTAACACAAAATTCTTGGTTAACATTTGAACCAAGCTCTCTCTCTATCTATATTATATATATATATATATATATATATATATAGTTTGTTTCAAATACAACCCATCGTATTTGTACAACCAATGCAACCCAATTAATTAAGATATTTATGAAAACGATGAGAGTATTTATTATGATTTGAATATTTATGGAAGATGACTAGATTTCATTAATTATGATCAATATTTTATATTAGGAAACAATAAAAACTTTTATGAAATCACATATTCATCAAATGAAATGGACAGTTGAGATTGGGTTGTATTGGTTGCACAAATGTCAAGGGTTGTATAATAACCAACCTCTCTCTATATATATAGGGTATATTTCAAATGCAACAATGTCCATTTGTACAACCAATACAACCCAATTAATTGAGATAATTATAGAAATGATGGAAGTTCATTTATTATGATTTGAATATTTATGGAAGATGAATACAGTTTATTAATTATGATTGATACTTTATATTAGAAAACAATCAAAACTTCTATGAAATCATATATTGATCAAACTAAATAGAGGTTGGTTATTATACAACCCTTGTCATTTGTGCAACCAATACAACTCAATCTCAACCGTTCATTTCATTTGATTAATATGTGATTTTATAGAGGTTTTGATTATTTCCTAATATAACGTATTAATCATAATTAATGAACCGTATTCATCTTTCATAAATATTTAAATCATAATAAATAAACTATAATCATTTCCATAAATATTTCAATTTATTGGGTTGGATTGGTTGTACAAATGCGATAAGTTGTATTTAAAATAAACCCTATATATATATATATATATATATATTTGTTGAAGCAATTTTAATTTCTAAAATTACATAGTTGTTGAGATTTTGTTTCCTAACATGAAGGTTTGAAAACTGATTCTTCAAAATTAGAACTTCCATAAACAATTATGTTATTTGAGGAGTTTTACAAGGACCAAATGCAGAATGTTATGAAGCCCTATGTCACGAGCACGTAAAAATGTTCATCATGCCTGTCATAACTAGTTAAGAGTTATTTCAACCATAAGGGTGACACTTGATTGGTTTGAGCTTAGACTCAAAGGTCAAACGTGTCTGAAGATCCCAGGTTCGAATTCAATGAGAAATAAAAATCCCATTGTGACTATAAAGATTCAAATTCAGTAACTCCAGGCTACCCGCGAAGCGGGTGATCATCTTTAGATTAGTCAGTTCGCATAGCGAGTTGGATATCCAGATTAATTAAAAAAAACTAGTTATTTCCATTTTCTACAAACATAAACTGCTTATTTTATACTTAAAAAAAACTGCTTATTTTCAACAGGAATAATGATTTCTTTACAAAATGAAAAGACAATTTGGTATAGGTTTTGATGTGAGAAATGCAAATTAAGAAAACAAGAATTGGTGTTTGGTTTCTTGGAATCCTTTGACCATATTCTTGGTAATATGCAATACTCAAAATGGAAACTGTGTTCCATACCCCATCTGATGCCAAAAAACTGCTACATGCTGCTTGGAGTAAAGAAAATACTACATACATCCAACATGAGATTTACTGGGTTCGTTTGGTTTGGTTTCTTTAACTCGGAAAGAAATCCTACAAGATCCGTTCATTTTTTTTACTCTGACAAACGGTCAAAAGTTCGTATAGGCTTGAATCCTATTGAGAGATCCACTAGTGATAAAAAATCATTGAGAAAACAAGATCTTTCTTTTCTCAAACGATTGAAAAATAAAGAAATGTTTAATCTATTCAAAATAATTACGAATTTACAAAATACCGTCTCAATTCATCTTATTTCATCAAATTCGAGATGAAGAATCTTTTTATGTGTGCTCTTTCTGGAACTCTGTACCACACCAACTCTTACAATTCACACAGAGGGTTTGTTTGGTATGTGGGCAATATTGGACCAAACGAACAAAAATAAGGTAGGAGGGTGAAAGAATACTAGGAGGTTTTAGGATTTTAATTTGATATAAGTAGTTTAGTAATTTACCAATCTTGTTCATCTCCTATTTTTTTGTTCCACCTATTTCGTTTGGGCAGAAAATATGCATTTTTGCCTGACTCAGGTTTTGTCAGTCTGATGTCACGTCACACGTGGGACAAGTTTTGTAATGTCATGTATCATCTTCTCCCGTGTACCAAACGCACCTAGACCGATTCATTACATGCTCAACAGTGAGATGAAGCTATCAAAGGTTTTTACCTATTATTTTTTCTTTTTTAAAGTATATAATATTTATATACAACAAAATTCACACTTCTCATCTTTGATGAGATTTGAACCCTCACATCCAAGCCAGTAACTCAATTGACCCTTTGGCGGCTGAAAGCTGGTTCTCCTACCTTGGTTTTATCCTAGTTTTGCACTTTTATGTTCTATCAACTCCTATTCTTGCAACAAAGGAATATTCATTTGTGAATGCTCAAAAACTAAGTTTTCATGGGGAAAGAAACCTTCTATTGGTATTCAAGGAGTTAATAACACATTTGATGCCAAGAAACGGACTGCATAAAGAGTTCTGCATAGAGCTTTCTTAACATGGATGGATTAAAAGAGTTAATAATGATAGCAAAACACATATTTGTTGCAATTAGAACAGCTACAGGAGAAACTAGTTGTTGTGCTGCTAAACATTTTCGAGCTTATAACATATAGCAATGCTGGAAAATCTTTCCACACATAAAGAGCACATACATTTGAAGATTCGTGTGTGGGGTGCGTAACCAAGTGAGATGATCAAAACCTGATAACGACTCGCGTATCATGATCAATGTCATTCGCATGCGGGTTTTGTATCAAAACTACTGAGACAAATTGCAAAAGCTTGGTAAGCAGAGAGGGGGTACCGATAATCCATGGTGAAGATGTCTTTGCCAATCTTCCCGAATTGCAGGATCACTTTATCTTGTTCGGCAGCCGACACATTGTGAGAAGGATCAACAGAAGCTACAAGCTGGAAATTCTTCACAGAGGCTACAGTCACCCGGCCTTTAAAATTCAGGCACCAGCATTGTAATTGTTCATGCCATCGTGGGGCTTTGTTTTTAAGCATCAGAGGGTCGACACAAATGGGGCCCGATAAACATGAGGTGGAACGAACATTACTAGGATCTTTGCCTTTAAAGGAAGGTGAAGAAAGTGAATGTTTGTCGTCAAAGGAGTGTGGGAAAGATTTTGGAGTTGGAGCAGAGCCACCTTCTTGAATCGAGGAGATGGGTATAGAATGCATCACACAGTTCATTCGTCTAGGGCCTCTTGTTCGTAGGACGTTGAGTTCATAGGAGATGGTGGCTATGCTATAGCTACAAGCGGGTATTCTAGGAGATACCTGTTTTTTATGAAATCTTTGACTTGAACGGTTATGATTAGCTTGAACTGATGCGTCACTTGGAGATTGGCTGTCGTATATGGTGAACTTGGTTCCAAGGAAGTTAGACCTGTTTCAAAAGAAAAAAAAATCATATGAAAAAAATGATAATTGATATATAATGCAGTTGTCAACACTTGCCTTAGTTTGCCAATGTAAGTAGAGCTAGCTCTTGAGAAATCATCCGCAACCAAAGAGATAGCAAACTCCGTACTTGTTGCCCTTCTGATCTTCTTTGCTGCCAACAGTAGCTTATCGCTTTCATCCTCAGCTGTCAATCAGTAGACTTGTCTGAGTCAGAAAAAGAACAGAACCAGGCCAACTTAATGCAAGTAAAATACATGAATTTCGAGTTACAAAAAAGGCATATGAATCTGTGTTGATCATAGACTTCTCTTGGTATTTGCAGCTAGTAACATATCAATCAAAAAGTTTCAGACCAAACTCTACATACACCTTTTACATCAACTTGAATCAGAAGATAAACTAGATAGTTTAAGCTTTCGCTATTTTACATTTTCATTTTACAGAACAAATTAAAGAATCTAAAAAAACAAACATGTGAGTTTGGCTCACATTTACATGATGCAAGGAAAATAGATATGTGACTTTTAAATTGGATCATTGAAAATGGTGGAAAATGATGTAAACCTTAACCATTTACTATGCAAGTGCAGTCTGAAAATGGAAGGTGCAAAACATACGTCAGCTCAACATATGTTAGCCCCACCAAAAGCCTACTTTATCAAGAAAATATCTTTGCACAATTGCACCTCGAAGACCAATTATACACTCAAAGTCGCGAATGATATGAAACATGGAAAAGAGAACCTTAAATAGCACACTTATCTATGAAAATTTTCAAGTGAATAACAATCTAGATTACACAAAATTACTGGGAAAATTAAACACCAAAGAAAAAAGTGCATTATTGACTTACATGGGGTCAGCCCAAAGTACAATCTATGTGTAGAAGTTGCTCTATCTCTTCTTATGTAGCACTGAATTGGAGAATCACGAGGACCAGGCTATTATGCAAGATTAAGAAACACAAATTATAACTCACTATACTACATCATAATCAATTAAAGGATAATAATAACAGTTTCACATCAATACTTGGCAAAATCTAACCTGTTTCAATGAGATTGGAAAAGTTAACCTCCCACATTCTTCAGGAGTCTTGACAATCTCCTTAGTAATATCCCTCCATGACTTACAAACGGATGCACAATAAACAACAACAGTTCTTGCCGGCCAGGACGTCTCACTCTCTTCAACCCTACGGATTATATCCAAAAGCAGTTCAGGAGGCAAGTTCGCCCACTGACCTTGGTTTATCAATTCAGATGGAGCTACATCCGGAGCAATATGTGATCTAGTGCGATTTCTCCAGTGTCTCCCTTCAATCCCTCTTCTGGATATATTTCCAATCCCATCTCTCATCTCCCTCAGCTCGCGCACAATGCTTTTAAACGACATCTTAATGATTTATCATACCAATTTCAAGACTCCCCTTTAATTCAGAAAATATACAAAAACAGAAAAGAGTCAGAACGGAAATAGTAGCTAAATTAAACAAAAAGAAAACTGGAAAATATGCTTTGTTTTAGGTTTTTGTTAATTTTTTATGGATAGATAGATCTGAGCTCACGACTTCAGTTACTAAAGGTCTAGGTCAGACTTTGAATATTATACGGTGTGAACTCAAAACCTGACTAAAATTTAAGCAAGATTTTGCCTATATATTATATAAATTTTAAAAATTCTTCATCAAACTTCCAACGAAAAACAAGGTTCTTGTTGTTGATCAAACCAATAACAACAAAATACAGTAAAATCACACTATCACGAACATAGCGATCTACTTGTCGAATCAAGGAAAATGAGCGATTCTACAATTTCCTCTAAATGCTAGAAAATTAAACCAATCTCAAACAAGCTCAAGTGAAACGAAAACATCAAACAATGACATACCTTTGAATCGATCGGATTAAATTCGAGATAGTTGAATAATACGTATCAGATCGGACGAGCAACGAATCGGAAAATTACTGGAAATCGACGAATGTGATACATGATGTTTGAGAAGTTAGGGTTACAAGGACGGAGTAGATCCCCTTGTTGTTGCGATATACGTTTTCCGATTCCGATCACGGCATGGGAAGCGTATCGAACGGCGCAATCTCCGGCAGAGGGTTGGAGGAAAGGATTCACGAGGTCTGTGGGATGAAGAGACAAACCACTCTTTTCAATCAAACGCCCAAAATCATCACGCCCTTAAAAATATGCACCTCGGGATGCTCCTTCCCAGTGTTGTTATTCCCCCCAACCCCCCCTTTTTAATCCAATATTTTAATTAAATAAATAGATTCATTGCGAAGGTACAACTAATTTCTTTTTTATTTTTTTAAATATTTTATTTAAAAAATAACATTTTTACTTTCTGCAATGTCATAAAAGGAAAATTGTATTAAAATAAAATCAACTTTTACCTGATTTTTATTTTGAGGAATTAATTTTTAAAATTATCATTTTAGGAAACCAACTTGTACCTGATTCCTATTTTAGAGAACCAACTTGCAAAATAATTATAGAAAAATAACTAAAATTTATTTTTTTCAAAAATTAATACAATAAAATCTATTTTTCATTTCAAATCTCGTTTTTTTTAAATTCAGATATCAAATTGTCGATTTTAAAAAAAATCCAAATTACCACAATAAAAATTGTCTTTTACTAATGCAATAAAAAAATCAATTTAATTGATGCAATAAAAAATAAATATTAAATATCACATTCAAGATTTTTATATCTAACCAATTCGTATCAATATTAAAGTTTAAATCAAATTTGGCAAATCAAACCAAAAGTTTGATAGAGACTCTTAAATTATTTGTTATCTGTTCAACATATCAACCAAACCCTTAAATAAACAAAAAGTTTAATACAGACCTCTAAATGACGATTTTGAAAGTTGGTTCCCAAAATAGGAATCAGGTGAAAGTTGGTTTCATTTTGATGTAATTTTCCCTATAAAAAATTACAATATAGTTATCGTATACGTCTGGGTTTAATCACTCTCTTCAACGACTATCAAGATTTCGTTAAATGATGGTCATTTTCTCCTTTTTTTATCGTTTTTTATCTTTTAACCCTAAAAACGACAAAAATAATTCGATTTTTATTGGATAAAAGACAAAAGAAATGATAAAAGTACGGAAACGTTTCTCATTTAACGAAATTTTATAACGTTCTTTAGGAGATGGATCAAATTCGAACGTTTTTACAAACCACGATGGTTATTTTGTAATTTTAAAAATTCAATAACAAAAATTGTTATTTTTGACAAACTATAGGGACCAAATTTGTAGTTTTTATTCTTTATGTAATTAGTATGTGTTAAACTTGTCAATTTTTGCATTTAATTATAACCAATAAATCACATTTTACAAAATTCAAGTTTTTTGAAGTGGTTTTCAAGTTATAATCTTAAATTAAAAGTGGACCAAATTAAATGCATATATGATGTACATTTTATTTTCAACCATTATATGCAACATATTTAAAAAGATGAATTTTTAGGTAGTTTATTATTGTACATAAAATAAGTAAATAAATGAAAAAAATGTTACTTAAAACGAAAATATATGTGATTTATGTAAATACAAAAACTCTTGTAAGTCCATTATATTGTTTTAAGTCACAGTTTTTAAAAAGACTAGAAGGGTACGCGCGTAATGCCGCGATATACATATTGATTTTAATATTTTATTTTATTTTTTATCTCAGTCGATGTTATAATATGGTCTTATATGATTTTGAAAAAGCGATGATGTTTTTATTTTTGAATAAAATATAAATTTGAAGATACCATAAAAATTTGACAAAAATATATCGATATTACTATCAAATTAACTATTTAAAATTCTTCATTTTTTGTGTAATTTTTTAATTCAATTTTTTTATTATAATTTGATTTAGGTTTAATAACGAAGTAATTTATATTTAGTTTAATAATATAATTTTCTTATAAAGATAATAATTAATTATTTTGTTAGAACTCGATAATTATCCTAATTATGTGCTAGATTTTTTATATTTTAAAATGAGATGTTTATCCTCTATTTGATTATGTTTATCCGCGGTTAGTTACACGAATTCAAACATGGAGCTTTAATAAGTTATACTTATGCATCAATATATAGTATTTCATACATTAAAAATGGTTTTTAAGAGTTTTTGTCAAATGCTTTATATATAGTATAGATTTGAGGGGCATCAAAACATTAAATAAATATTTACCTTTTAAGGAATAAAGAGTGCATGCATGGGTAAAATAGGAAAAAAAAAAACTACAAATCGTATAACGAATAGACAGAGTTGATAACTGTGGATGTGATCATCACTGGTTTTTGATATACAGAGTTTTATCACATTATTATCACAACAAAATCACATAATTATCACATCAAAATCACGTCATTATAACAACAAAATCATATCTTGAAAAGTATTCGATTTAACAAAAAATTATTACAACAAAAACATATATTATCACATCATTATCGACAACAAATGCATCGATATAAGAAGTCTTCAATAATACTAACAATATTTAATGAATAAAGATAAATATAATATACCATAATATTATTAATAAATATATTTTCATTTGAGTTAAATAATTTAAAAGCCCAAAATTATTTTCGTAAATATGTATTTGTGGGATACAATCGTATGTAATTTTTTTTATATTATAAATCAAGATTGAAAAATCAATATAATTACTTACTAAAAAGATCAAAATTTATATTTGGACAAAGTAAGACTTTTCTTAATATCATGTCCCAACAAATGATACAGTAAATTGATCAAGTTTATTATAAGATAAATATCCATAACGTGCCACATTTTTCTACTTTCAGTATTTTTTTTTATTAACCTGGATATCCAATCCGCTATGCGAGCCGACTAATCTCAAAGCGACTACCTGCTTTGCAGATAGCCCGAAGTCACCACATTTGAACCTCCAGGGCCACAAGAGGATTTTTAGTCCTCTTTCGATTTGAACCTGAGACTTCCTGGTACTTTTGACTTTTGGAGTCAAACTCAAATCAATCAGGCACCACCCTTGTGGTTTACTTTCAGTATTTGTTATATTGATTGAATTATTTTTATTGATTAAGGCAATACGTGTAAAACCCAAAAATTTGTGGAATAAATAATTTATCTTTATTAGTATTTTATTTTAAGAACATATATATATAAATATATATATATATATATATATATATTAAATAAAAATAGAAGGTTGAAATAAGTTTAAAAGTCGGACCAAAAGTGAAGGAATAAATCAAGACATGGGTGAAAGTTGTCAATTCGCGGAAGTTAAGGGTCTGGGTCGTGTGTAAGCAAGTCCAAACCAGAAGGACCTGTTTTGTAAATAGGCAACAGACCTGCAACAGGGTGGCCTACTGTCAACGATCGAGAGAGGCAGAAGAGGGGCAGGCGGTGCCTGGTTTAAAAAGGGAAACTACGACCTGCATGGTTGCAGGCTGTGGAGAAGACAGTCTCGCAGCCTAAAAAATTGGGATTTGGCCGATTTGGTCAACTAATAGGCCAACCCGCTTGGGTATAAATCAGGGGTACTGGTCTAGAGTAGTTATCTTTTTTTAAGAAGAAGGAATCGTCGAGCTTGAGAGAGGGAGGAACCGGAGTTCAGACCAGACACGAAACCCCCTGCTTCCCGTCGTTTAGAGGTAATTACTCGACCCAAATTTTATATTGATACAAGGTTTAGCTATGCCATCGGTCCTGTATAGAACCCTAGAAGGCTCACGTCCAAACTTTGTGTTTTTAAGGTTCGATTTCAAGGTTTAGATTTCAAATGGTAAACATACTGTATCACTGTAAAAACCACTTAGAAGATGGTATACAGAAACTCTACAAAAGAGCTATGTATCATGTTAGACAGAGGCTCTGCGTGAGAGCTATGTGTCAAGTTATGTTAGACAGAGGCTCTGCGTGAAAGCTCTGTGTCAAGTTATGTTAGACAGAGGCTCT